GTAAAGGATCAAATAACATGATGTCAACCTAAGTGCTTCATAAAATCTTACTATACTTGAAAGGTATTAAATTTTTATTCATCATTTTTACCTCCACTGATTTCCAGAAAGAATTTTAGTTCAGTTGCAACAGAAGATACATAGGCAATAGGACTGACTATTAAAACAAAGATACAAGAACAAGAGTCATATAATAAAAATGGCAGACAATTGTCCCAGATAACCTAAGTTAAGCATAGTTGTAAAAATTGAACACTAAATTTAGCTTTGAACTCCCGGGCAGCTAAGACAGAACACAAAATACAATTAGACACAAGGGTCTCCATAATTTACAAACTGAAGCATGCTGGTTTCTTAGGAGAGAAGGAAGTTTTCTTACCACTAAATTCTAAGAGGATCATGGATGAGGTTGTTAGCGGGTCACACAGCTATTCCTGCTTGCCATATGACTTGAAGTAACTTGAAGTTACATGTAACCATATGGCTGATTGCTAGCTAATGGGATGTGAGCTGGTCCACAAAAACATTCCCCAGCGTTCCCCACTGCTACCAGCTGATTGGCCTGTGTAGAAGGCAGGAGGTGGAGACAGCCTGAGACCTGAATCCCTGCTTAGATCTTCTCGCCAATTAGAAATACCTGCTTTTTACGTTATGTGAGCAGGAAATAACACCTCTGTCATGTGGCAGATATTATATATTTTACACAATTTGTATACACTATAAAAGAAGATTTTCCAATATGCAACATCGCTGGATAGCATAATATCCAACTTCATACCTTATCAGTTTTATCTTAAGAAAAAATTTTAAATGCTCTTTAGGGACCATCTCATTTTATCAGAGATAAGACCATCTAAAAGTTCTGAGGAAAGGGAATGAAACAAAAATGGGTAATTTTACTTATGTGTTTGGGATGGTGGCGCCTGGGTACAAAGAAAAGAAGCAAGAGATAAGAATAGTTTGGAGTATGAGACACATTTAGGAAGACCTGTTTATTTAGGTACCTTAGTAATGAAGGTACAATGGGCAATGAGAAGGCCTAGAGAAGGATGCGTCATCCATAAATTTGGAGGAAACTTGACAGTTTAGAAAGAAGGACACATTTTTTAAAAGCCGAGAGGGGAGGGTGGCAGTGACAATCTGACTTTCTATATTTCTGTCGAGCCTAGCTTGCCTGGCAGGACATTAGCATCCTTAGCTCTGTCTTGAAGCAAGCAAGCAGTTCATAGACCCAGCTGTAAAATGCTTTCTAAAATTCCCAAGTTACTGTTCAGGTGTCTAGGAAATTTTATAAAGATGATCAAGGATAAGAATATCAAAATTCTGTAAATGTAATTATTTTATTACTCATTAAGCACAATTCTACAACTTGCAGAATTGATTACTGAACTTCTCTGGTCTTTTGAGATTCAGTTTGAATAAGTGCATTGTGCTTAGATTTCATTCACCTCCAACACAGATTTGTTTTAAGAATTCTCACGGAATAGTCTCCAGGGCATTCTTGCTAGGATTTTTACTATGCCTTTCTTACACTACACTATTTGACCCTTCCTACTTTAAGCATAAATGCCTCACATTTTACACGTGGCTTAGGAGGTTTCACGTCCAGCTCTAGTTAAAGCTATAAGATTTAGCAGGTCTTGGGCAAATGACAGCATGGAGCGGATGGGGTAGGGCCAGCCCCCAGCTCTCGGCTTACAATCAGTCCAGAACAGGTGTGCCAGGAGAAGACATAGACACAGTTGCTGACAAAAGCAGTTTAGGACCTAACCCAGAGAGCCCAGGAGCACAGGGCAAACTATGATCTCAAACCAAACAGACAGCAATGAATCTACCATTAAAGCCTAATGTTAAACCATTGTTGACATACAAAGGTCAGCAATGGAGAATGTAAAAAAGAAATACTCAGACACCTATATAGCCAGACTCCCAGGAGGAATCTCAATAAATATCAGGCCCCATGGCTTTCCCAAAATTCCATTTTCCTTAGACCAAAATTTTTACTTCTCACCACTCCTATAATATGAGCAAACCACAGCTGCTCTTCCTCGTACAATAGCTGGCTTTTGGAGTTTCGAAGAAAATGTAAAATATGGTTGTCATCAAAATATGAGCATCCAGAGACTATGTCATTTCTCTAAGTATTGTAAGTGCCACAGGAAACTTTGAGTAACAACCATTTTATGATTCTATGAATAATGCAAGTTTCTCTTCCTTCGGGCTGATGTACGGCTTTTTTGATACCATCACTTAAAGGAAAATGAAATCCACAAGTTACTTTTCTGTCCTACCCAGGTAACTTATTTGTTCCAAAGAGAAGAATCAAGACATCAATTAAAATTTTTGCCTGCTAAGAAAATATGAAATGGGAGATAGAACAATTATGCTTTTTTACTCTTTATTACCACTTCCTTCCACAATTAATAGGAATGAAGATGTATAGCAGCAAGTGTTACTTGAAGTTTAATTTCCTTTAAGAAATGTATGATTTAGAATCAAGGTTTAACTTCTACTTACTAAATGAGTAATATCTAGTGTTAACTGAGCACTTACTCTCTGTGGCAAACACTTTAAGTGCTTTCCAGATAGTGCCCCCTTTAATCCTCATGAAAACCCTGTTATCCTTATAACAGAAATAAAGAAAACTGAGGCCCAGAGAGATCAAGTATTTGCACAGTCACATTGTAAGTGGAAAAACTAGAATTTAAACACAGGAAATCTGACTCCTGGATATGAAATACTGCATGATTCTGATCCATTTATACCACTGCACAATGAACATCAGCACTTCTTGTGTTATCCCTAAATGTTACTATGATTAATATAGTATGTGATATTTCATTTGGAAATACATGTAAAACATTTCCTGCATAACTCAGACACAACTTCCTGTTTTTTCACATAAGAATTGCCACTGCTATTTAAGGAGATGGACTTCACCTAATATCGAACAACTCTTCAGCCTTAAACAAGCAATCTGTGTAAGAGAAACAACCTGAAGATATAAAGGAATCTGATGCCAGAATCTTAACATTTCTAAGAGCATCTCCTTAGTGACTGGACCACAAATCACTGCCTTTAGAGTTCAAAGTTGCAGGAATGCTGTTGAGGGTGTTTTATCCTTTTACAGCAATCTATACTGTGGCCTCTGGGCCTAACACTCATGACAGGCGGACTGGATAGCATTAAAATCATCTAGTGCATCATTCTTCTCTAGGTGTCCATACAATGTTTGGAAATCATGTTGGCTCAAAGGTCTAACTTTTAGTACTGGCTGCACATTTGCCATGGGATTATTCCATTCTCTGTCTGTTGAATCTGCTAAAATGAATGAACTTCATTTTTTTTTTTGAAGGTACACCTGCAAAACTCAATTTCTTTTTTAAAAACCATCTATGTTCACACAACCTCTGAATTACCTTCTTTTCTCCCCTTTGGTCCATTAGTTCCTGCTTTTCTAACTGGTAATGTCAAAATAAGTGATCTGGCCTTTGAAATGTTTAACATAAAATAAAATTAAAATGAGGTTGAATTTCCAGTTTCACTTGGGTTCACTCAAGACTAATCTGTAATTTGGAAAGAACACCCACCTCCAACCTTCTGTAACAGTTTCATGAACACATCAACTTTATAATGTAGACTCTCCTAATAGACCCTAGCATTCAAATTCTTTGTGTTCTTAGCAATGGAACAAAACTGCCACATTTCTCTTCACTGCAGAGTCAAAGCTGTCATAATCTGCTGTTACGTTTTACTGAATGTCCTCAAGCTGTCAAAATGTTTGCTATGTCTATCAAAATATGCCAAATTTATTTGGGGCACTGGGCATGAGCAGCAGTGAAATCTTTCAGACAAATGAGGTTGGGTGAATAGCAAATATATGAACATTAAAATGAGAAAAGTATAGGACAGAGCATATCTTACTACTAAATATGATGAGTTCTATAAAGAAATGAATTGATATTATTGGGACATTAATGTATCAATAGAGGTGGAATCCAGCTTGTTATATTCTTTTGTGAATATCTAAATATAAAAATGTGTGCCTATTACAGGCCAATATATTGTGAGCTTTAATTATGTTTTACTAATTTCCAGGTGGTATTCCCAAATATTTTCTATTTCAAATTAATATGGATACTCCAAGCATCCGTGGACGATTTTATGAAGCCCTTAGATCATATTTTAGCAAACATAATGTAGAAACGTTAACAGTGCATAACTACCTGAATTCTACATCGTGGAAGAGCACTTCTTTTTATCCATATTCGAAACTAAAAATCACTTTGATGTACACTGTTCATTATGCATAGCTGCAGAATTCCAAATCAATAGGAGAAAAAATTATTTACTTATAGTTAAATTCCTATGGTTGATTTTTTTTATGTAGAGTTAAAATGAAAAATTCTAATGTTGTTTTTACTCGCATTGCTCCAGGATTTACAGAAGGGTGGGAGTGCATCATTTTTCGGAATTTTATGTCCTTCACAAGAGATCTTGGGACAACAAGTGCCAAAATCAGCTTGGGAAAGGAGCTGTGTCGCGCAGCGTGAGTGACACAGGAGGAAGTTTTTTGCAAACTGTGTATGCCTATTTGCATTTGCTGAAATTTATGTCCGTATTAAATGCAAGAACAAATTATTCCTGGAGGTCACCTTAGAGACCTGACTTTCCTCACTCACCACCATAACTTTTTGTTTCCCCAAAATATGTTGATCTCTAAGAAAATTTTTTTTCCCAAGAATATATAGTTCTTTTTTGATAGTAATAAAATTCAGTGCAGCAATTTTAAACTAAAGAATATTATTTGGCCCAAAGAACTGAGGGACAAAGTTACCAAGCACATTGTGTTAAACCCAGACCTAACCAATTATTTTTAATTCTCTGCTATAACCATCAAGTATACTTTTTAAATACTGAAAGAAAAATATCTCTGTGTTTCATTCTAGGCTCCTTCCTGAACAATTCAAACTTATCTGGTCAATAAGCTTCACACTTACCTCAAAGGCCTTCTGTATTTTTACAAAGTCACCCACAGTGAGTTGGTTTTCAAGCAGGCCCGTGCCATCATCTTCACATGCAGTTACACCCTCTGTTCTCTCAGGGCTCTTTGGCCCAGGCTGTGACCCTGTGTTTAACTCAAGTGCAGCTTTCTGGCAACTCATAATGGCTTCACCTTTTCTCAGCAGCCTTCAACTATTTCTATATGGTTGGATTTTTTTCTTTCTTCAACAGGTGCCTTGAAAAGAAACTCACCAATAGAATTCCAAAATCAAAGTACAAACCTTTCGAGGCACACAATTAGGAAGCAAAATGTTCAAGCTGAGCTAGGACATGAAAGCCCTTAACCACCTCGCTTATTTGATTCCAGAGTTTAATTTCAAAATTTACAGTTGAGTGGTTTTAAAATGGCATTTTTACCCCTTCCTTAGACCCTGTTTAACCTGGCTTGATTAAAAATGTGTAAAGCTTCCCCACATGTCTAGTAACTGACACAGAAAACAACTTCCACTCCTCATTTTAAATGCATTAGAAAAGCACCTTCCCCAAAATCTTTGGCTTACTTTGCTTCCATTAACACATTGTAGTTTTCAACTCCACTTTCTTGTCTGCAAGAGTTAGATGACAAAGCTGCAAAGTTTCCCTACCAGTGAAGTACCCGACTCTGAAGGCCACCTTCCCAGCAATGTGGAGTTTGTTTCCTCTGTTCTGATCCCTTTGTATGTTTCCTGGCAACCAACACAAAGCCAACTAAAACTTTCCCTGTACTTCCCCATCTCCGACTAATGACTGAACTGAAAGTTTGAATATATAATGTAAATGTTGAAATGTTATTTTTTAAAATAAAGGCACAATTCTTTCCCCTCTTTTTTTCTTTTTTTTTTTTTTTGAGATGGAGTTTCGCTCTTGTTACCCAGGCTGGAGTGCAATGGCGCGATCTCGGCTCACCGCAACCTCCGCCTCCTGGGTTCAGGCAATTCTCCTGCCTCAGCCTCCTGAGTAGCTGGGATTACAGGCACGCGCCACCATGCCCAGCTAATTTTTTGTATTTTTAGTAGAGACGGGGTTTCACCATGTTGACCGGGATGGTCTCGATCTCTCGACCTCGTGATCCACCTGCCTCGGCCTCCCAAAGTGCTGGGATTACAGGCATGAGCCACCGCGCCCGGCTCCCCCACCCCCCGCTTTTTTTAATAAACTACATCTTGCATTATTTAAGAATAACTTTTACCCTTACATAGGATATAAGTCATATAACAATTATGATTAGTCAAAGAAAAGGGCATGAAATTCTAGAATTTTATGTTTTACATATAGAAAAGTTTTATTCTTGTATAATAGGAATCCATTTCTTATATTCTTTCCATCTTAGTTTCTATGTATATAAAAGAGATGGTTCAAAAAAGCTTCCAACTTGTTGAAAATGTGATTAAAAACAGTGTAACACAATATGATAAATCTAATGATAAAATTGCTTGCAATGTCATCACTGATTTGGCTAATAATAATGAAAAGGAGGAGAAAAAGAAGAAAAAATAACTTTGAGTTTTCACCATGTGCCAGATGCTAAAACTTTATGTTCACTGTCTTGTTTAAGCCTTATAACAACCCTACAAGGCAGATATGATTATTATGTTCATTTTACTGAGGGACAAAGTTACCAAGCACATTGTGTTAAACCCAGAAGCAAAGAGCCAAGCACAGTGTCTCACATCTGTAATCCCTGCACTTTGGGGGGCAGAGGCGGGTGGATGGCTTGAGCTCGGGAGTTCAAGACTAGCCTGGGCAGCAGGATGAGACACCATGTCTAGTAAAAATCCAAAAATATTCAGCTGAGTATGGTGGCACATGCCTGCGATCCCAGCTACTGAGGAGGCTGAAGTAGGAGGATCCCTTCAACCTGGGGGCCAGAGGTTGTAGTGAGCCAAGACTGTGCAACTGCACTCCAGCCTGGGCAACAGAATGAGACCCTGTCTCAAAAAAGAAAGAAAAAAAAAGAAAATGCCAAAGGTCACACAATTAGTAACACATGGAAGAGAACAGAATGCTCCCAAACTTCAAAGACTGCATGCATTAGTCTGTTCTCACACTGCTAGTAAAGGAATACCTGAGACTGGGTAATTTATAAAGGAAAGAGGTTTAATTGACTCATAGTTTCATATGGCTGGGGAGGCCTGAAAATCACGACAGGAAGTGAATAAGGAGCAAAGTCATGTTTTACATGGCAGCAGGCAAGAGAGCATGGGCAGGGGAACTCCCATTCATAAAACCATCAGATCTCAGGAGACTTATTCACTACCAGGAGAACAGTATAGGGGGAAACCACCCCCATGAGTTCATTATCTTCACCTGGCCACACCCTTGACATGTGGGGATTATTACAATTCAAGGTGAGATTTGGTTGGGGACACTGTCAAACCATCTCACTGCACTTTAGATGGATGTCCCCATTGCACTTTATTTCTGTAAACTAAAAAGTTGCCGTTACATCTTCTCTAGACTCTTCCAGCTCTAACATTCTTTGAGCTGGTGTTCACTAGAGGCATGCTACAGCACAGAGAGAAGAGCATCCTGTGGGAGTTCCTGCACCCATAACAGAAAAAAGTAAAATCTCACTCATGCTTTCATTAATTCATCCATCTATCCTTATTAATTCAAAAAACGATTTATGAAGAACCTAATAGGCAGGGCACGGTGGCTCATGTCTGTAATCCCACACTTTGGGAGGTCAAGATGGGCAGATCACTTGAGGTCAGGACTTCAAGACCAGCCTGGTCAACATGAAGAAACCCTGTCTCTACGAAAAATATAAAAATTAGCCAGGCATGATGGTGGGCATTTGTAAATCCAGCTACTTGGGAGGCTGAGGTAGGAGAATCGCTTGAACCAGGGAGATGGAGGTTGCAGTGAGCCAAGATCACACCATTGCACTTCTGCCTGGGAGACAGTGCTAGACTCTTTCTCTCTCTCTGTATATGTCAAGTCCTGAATTGTGACGTGGTACCTGCCATAATGGCTTTATAGTCTAGTCAGAGCAATTATCCATCTAGCTCATCTTTAATGCCAATACCCACCTCTTTCTGTTTACTGTGTTCAGAGGATTCTGAAGCCATAGATGATAGGCTCAAAGGGAAACAGTGGCATTGTAGATATGCATATATGTGTAGATATGTAACACAGGCACAGGACAGGGGGTGTATTTACCAGATTTGCTTTTCCTAGATAAGTCCTTCTTGTAAGTTAGGAAAATATTTTTAAGCCCTAATATTATGAGTTATCCTAAGTCATCTTACATGGGAACACAATTTATCTTCTTACCACCCTAGTTAGTAAGTTAATAATAGTTTAAATCAGCTAGATCAGCCCCATAAATGTTTGTACAAATGCTTTATAGTGATATTCTAGGGAGCTGGGCTTTGTTCCATAACAGACACTAATGAGGGAAGGAAGAGAAAATAGGAAACACATTCTGTAAAGATGCTCCACGAGAGGTAGGTATGCCACTGGCTGACAATGTGAAATTCTCTAATTATTCTAAGACAGACAAGCTGCCTGGCCTACTTAGCGTCCATAAAGTTGCAGCTCAAAATGTTTTCATTAGTCAAAACAGGAAAGTATAATGAGCAGCTAACAAATTACAGTAGAAGTTAATCAATTGACACAGTTTTCTTGCTATAAAATTATGGCATTAGAAATAATTCTTCATCATAAAGTCTTAAACGGCTCTAACCTTCTCTCTGTAACTGTGTGGATAATTTTCAGGTTAAATTTCTGCAGCGCTGTAAATCCCATAACTACTCTCTTGACTGCTGAAATTTACCCTCTTGCTTGCCATGAATCAATTATGATATTGTGAAAATCAAGATGGTGACAGTTTAGTCACCTTGAGATGGCCAAGAAGCAGATTGATACTTGCTCCCTTTTCCTGTAGGGATCAGCAAACACCTGCCAGCATAGTGGAGCCCTAATCACCAAGAGGGCGGAGTAAGCTCATACATTCCTCGGCCCTTCGACACTCTGGGACTGAATAATTCTCCCCACTGAACAGACACACCCATCTGTGTTTATCACAACTCACAGTCCACACCCAAATCCCTGCTATCTCCTTCCCCCGCAATTTATGCCCAGCAACATAAATATAGGCCTCCCTTTTATATTATGTAAGGACAATGTTTTACCACTATATTTTCTGCGAAGTAGAGTATGCATTATGAAACAATACGATTAGCCAAAGAAAAGAGCGTGAAATTTTGGAATTTTACGTTTTACACGCAGAAAATGTTTTATTCTTATAGGATAAAACTCCACTCCTTATATTCTCTTTGTCTTAGTTTCTATGTATGTAAAATAGAGATAGTCCAAAAAAGCTTCCAACTCACTGAAAATGTGAGAAAAACCCAGCATGCCGTAATATAACAAATCTAACGATAAAACTGCGTGCAGTGTCATTATTGGTTCAGCTAATAATAATGAAAAAGAGGAGAAAAAAAAATAACTTTTTTTGAGTATTTGCCATGTGCTAGGCACTAAAACTTCATTCATTGTCTTAAGCTTCAAACCCACCCTACAAGGCGGTTATCATCATTATCCCCATTCTCTTCCCCACCCAATTCCTCCTCACCAATGTGCAGATCTCCCTTTTCCTTCTCCTCTAGCTCCTCTTTTTCTTTGCCCACCATTCACACTGAAGCCTGTTCTTACTCACAGTCTTTGTCTTTGCCTAAATTCTCCCTCCACCTCCTCACTTGAGCTGAAACCAGTTTTCCCTTACCAACCTGATTTCTGGCCGAGCCTTCTCAAGTCCTCATCTCCCCAGGAAGAGAAAGAAAGGACGTTTTCCCACCATCTTCTTGCCTCTTGACCCCACGCCTTCCCAGCATAGCCCCAAACTCCCCCTGGCTCTGCGTAAAGGGAACTTCCTTTCAAAGCCTCCGGAAAGCTCCAGCCCTGCCCTTGCCACCTTTTAAGCCCTCAACAGATATTAGTGTCTTTCCTTCTTTATTCCTTATCCTGCCAGTTAGAATTAATTACTCCTCTCACTCTGCAACCACAGCATGTTTTTCAGACTTTAACCACAGCACTTTTTCTTCCTGCATTGTAATGTAATTAGTTGTCTGTCTCTCCCACTAGATTAATTCCTAAGAACAGGGATGATACCTCACTAATGCTGTAGCCTTACATTGCCCAACACGGAGTGTTGCATAAACTTCTCAACACTGCAATAATGTATGGTCAGCTGTAAGCAGGATGGGTAAAGGAGACATTCGCCTGTAATCTTGAGTTATCAAGCAAGGGTCCTGGGAATAGGCGGCACTGAATCAGAAAGAGAAGCAGAATTCTGTGAAAAACGAAAATCATATGACTCAAAGGTCATTAAGGAAAGGAGAAAGAAAATTAGTGACAAATAAAATTTGAGACAGTATCTTCAAGTCACTTAACAAAATTAAGTACTCATGCTTTTTGAAAAAAACCATATCTTTTTTACATATAATTTCTATGTAATCTGCAAATATGTGTTGAGGCTTTACTCTATCCCAGATGCTGCTTCTAAACACTGGAAAAGCAAAGATAAAGAAGATACATCTCTGTGGCCACCATTGCTCAGAGACACATATCACAATAAATGTTGGCTTTGAATTAATCCTGTCTTTGAGAAAGCAGTTTCCACTATTAACCTTGGGCAACATAACATTAGCCTTTTTTTTTTTTT